ATGATTTTTCTAATTAAAATTTTATCTTATACCTCGTAATGTGATCTGGTGTCATTAATTTTGGTTATATTTGTAATGCATAATTATCGAAGTTCTTCTCTTTTTTGATACTTTTCTCATGTTGCCAGGTCTCAATTCGTTACCATGGCTGAGTCCGATTGCAGCACACCAGGCGAATATCTGTTGGCCCAGTTCACAGTCTGTTCACTTTCCACTCATATCACTTCTCTTGATGGACTTTCTTCCCTTTCTTCTGTTGATGGCTACAGTCGATCACTTCTCTTGCTCGCTGATTCAGAAGCTGGCATGAAACCCCGTCTTATCTCTATTCTGATATAAGGTGTTAGATGACCTTTTCCTGGCTATCCTATTGTAAATATATCTTTTATATAAAAGTGGGCTTTTGTCTTTTAGAGTAATAAATCTGCGCAGTGTATATTGACTTAGGATATAAGAGTCAGCCGCTTATTTAATTTTCATCTTTGCCAAGGCTCCCTCATAAATGTAAGCAAAATATATGACGGTTTTACCTTTTATATTGTCTATTAAAATTTACTGCAATTTGCCTTTGTTCCTTTTTTATCCAACCTCACCTGGATTTCATTTTCTGAAAATATCACTTTATAGTGATATTGTTTATTCGATTTCTTCTTGGCCAAATCATTATATCCTGAAACACAATACTTCAATTTTGAACGTGCGAATGGGATTGAGACTTTTCTTTTCCGAATATGTTTGCTGTTAAGTAACTCACCACCTTCATATCAGTTAATTTAAATCTTGGATCATGCTGATAAAGGTGGATTTAATCATTCTTATTTAATCTGTTTCTCGGCTATTAAAATACTGATACAACCGGCGGAGCAAGTGATTAGTTTAAAGGTTTCACGTCAATCTTAAATCACCTGTTGATGCACGGGGAGTTATCCTTCTCGTAACAGATGTAATAGGTTAAGTATTTGATTTGCATTTGTCTGTCTTATTCGGAGTCGCATCTAGATAATCCTTGTCACCTGTGGGCATCTAACATACGTTTTCACGCAAGTCTGTTACAAAATGTGCAGCCAGGGTAATTCCGTTTTTCAGAAGGGCGCTGTTAGGGTAGCCGGATCCTAGTTGTATCAAATAGGAGGTCACAGTCTACCCAGTCCTAGTGAAACTAATTATACCGCTCTTCCGTGCTGGAGTGTATGTACCTTTTTTGACACTATAAAACTTCCC